ATATATATATATATATACACACACACACACACACACATATATATATATATATATATATATAGGGGAGGGTGGTGGGGAGGAAGGGAGAGAAAAATTTTAAACACAAAAGCATATGGAAGTTATTGTTGACAAATCAAAATAAATTAATTTAAAAAAACCCATACCTGACAAATGGTCTTTCAGCCTCTTCCTCAAGACATCCAGTGAGGGGAAATCTGCTGAATCCTAAGACAGGCCTATACCACTTTTGGACAACTAGTGATTCAGAGATTTTTCCTCATATTAAGCAGAAATCTGCACCTTGAAGTATAGGATCCTAGATTTAGGGCTGAAAGAGATCTTAGAGGCTGCTGAGTCCAACCCCCTGCTTTTATAGATGACAAGACTGAGGCTGAGACGTAAAGTGTCTTGTCCAGGGTAAGTGTCTGAGGAAGGATTCTAACTCGGGTCTTCTTGACTCCCATGCCTGGCACTTTAGCCACTGTGCCATTTAGCTGCTTCTCATTCTGCCCTCTGGGGCAATGCTGAACAAATGGAATTCTTCTAAATGACTCAAAGATAGCTGCTACATCCCCACTGAGTCATCTCCAGGCTAAACATCTCCCAGTTCCTTCAGTCCTCGTGTAAGAGGAAGATGAGGCCCTTCTAACATGTTCACTGAGGCGGAGGACGGGAAGGGAGGGGAGAAAATTGAAACTCAAAAGCTCATGGGGGCAGCTAGGTGGCACAGTGGATAGAGCACTGACCCTGAAGTCAGGAGGACCTGAGTTCAAATCCGGCCTCAGACCAAACACTTGACACTTACTAGCTGTGTGACCCTGGGCAAGTCACTTAACCCCAGTTGCCTTAAAAAAAAAAAAGCTTATGGAAGTGAATGTTGAAAAGTAAAAATAAATAAATTAAAACTTTAAAAATAAAAAGGATGATCAACTGTTAAAGACTTAGCTACTCTGATCAAGAAAATGATCTAAGACAATTCCAAAGGACCCATGGTGAAAAATACTATCCTCCATCAGAGAGAGAATGATACTCTGAATGCATATTGAAGTATACTTTTAAACTTTCTTTATTTTTCTCCCTTTTTTTGCTATATTTTCTTTCGCAATATAGTTAATATAGGAATATGTTTTGCATGACTTCACATGTATAATTGATTTCAAATGGCTTGCTTTCTCAAGGTGGAAAGGGGCTGGAGGGAGGGATGTAATTTGCAATTCAAAATGTTAAAAATTAATAATAAAAATTATTATTTTAATAATAAAAATAAAAAATAATGAAATGACATGTTTGCTAGTCTCCTCTGAATGTTCTTCAGTTTACCAACATCCTTCCTAAAATATGCTCTGGCAAAGGCAGTGCTCACAGGAACTAATATTTCCCTAATCTTGGACATCATGCCTCTTTTCACGAAGCCTAAATTCACATTGTCTTTTTGGGCTTGTATATCACATTGTTGACTCATTAAATCCTCCAGATCTTTCGAGCAAGCTGCTACCTAGTTTGCATCTCTCTCACCTTGTACTTGTGAAACTGATTTTTTTAGACCCAAGTGTAAGAGTTCACATGTATTTCTGTTAAATTTCATTTTATTAAACTTGGCCCAACATTATAGCCTGAAAATAATCTCTTAGATATTGATTGCCATCCAGAATGTTAGCTATCCCTCTCAATTTTGCATCATCTGCAAAGTTGACAAGCATATTATGTAAGTCTTCATTGTCATTGAATAAAAATGTCCAACTGCACAAGAACAAAGACAGCTATAGTTTATCTAGATTTTAGCAAAGCATTTGATAAAAGTACTCCAACCAGTCTTGTGACAAATATGCAGAGATGTGGATTAGAGGATAATAGAGAGATTCAGAACAGGCTGTACTCGTGGTTCAATGTCAACCTGGTAGGCATTGTCCAAGGGAGCACCCCAGGGATCTGTGCTTGGCCCTGTGCTTTTTAACATTTTTATCACTGACTTGATTTAAGGTATAGATAGCACAGTGTTCAAATCTGCAGATAACAGAAAACTGGGAGCTAACTCATTGGATCACAGTCAGAATCCAGAAATCTTGACAGACTGGAATGGCAGCTTTGGAGGGCAGGAGTGGTTTTCATTTTGTCTTCATGTCCTCAGTGCCTTGGACATAGGAACTGATACATGTGTATATATGTGTGTGTGTTTATATGTATATATATATATAATGTATATATGTGCACACATATTTACATACATACATATATATATATTGTTGTTGAATTAAAATGAAGGGTGTCACTAAAACCAAGTAGAGGGTAATGGGACAGGATGGGACAGAGAAGGAAAGGATGTTTCTTTATAAAATTCAGGTACCCTTCAATTGGGCATGTGGGCCCAAGGAGAAAAGAATGGAAGCCACACACCATGGCTCAGTAGGTAAAAGAGGGCAGGGAGACGAAAGACCCTATGGAAGGAAGAGTCAGAGCCTCTGCGACAGGCCATACTTTATTTGGGCATGTTTGATGATTTTTTACCCAAGTAGCTCCATGCTGGGCTGCGCGAAGTGTACAAAAGGCCCCCATTGGGGCAGAGCTGTGCAACAATTAAAAATAACAACAAGAAAAAAACCAGGCCCCAAGAAAGCTGGGCTGGGCGAAGTGTACAAAACCCTCTGAGTCCAGGGCCAGCCAGGGTGCTGTTATTTCTCCATCTGTACTCTTTTCTCCGAATGGTTTTTCTTCTTTAGCTTCTTAAGAGTCCTTAGCACCATAGACGTCTGGCTGTCAGAGGGGCAAGGCACAGTCTTCGGGGGATGGGGGGAAGAGTCCTAGAAAAGTTTGGGGAGGGGAGGCAGGGGGAGCTGTCCCAGGGTCTTAGTTATCAGTGCACTTTGGAGCAATCACACACACACAATCACACACATGCACCCCCCTGAATTCCCCCAGCTCAGTCAATCTATGTCCCTGCCCACTAGCCCTCTGGCCCTGGTTAGGAGTGAGGAGAATGAGGTCTCCACTCATCCTACCAGAATCACATTCTAGGGGATCGACAATGTCTTCAATCAGCAGACAAAGTTCCCCTATTCTCCCAGAGGGGTCAGTGGGAGAATCTGTTCATTCAGCTCCCCCAGTCCAAGGACAGGCCTTTTCCCCAAATCAGGTGTTCATGTATGTGGGTGTGTCTCTGCATCTGCACATGTCTGTATTGGAAATCTGTGTGTGTGTGTGTGTGTGTGTGTGTTGTGTATGTGTGTGTGTGTGTGTGTGTGTGTGTGTTTTTAGCCAGGGAGGGTGTGGGGCTGGGGGAAGCAGTTTGGGGGCTCAGGGCACATTGACTTTGAAGGGACTGCCTGGGACACTTTCATCTCCCCACTTGACAATGAGGATGTAGTCCCCCTTTTCCTTGACAGTGTAGGTGACGTTGTACACTCGATTTCCCATGTGCTTCACGTATACTTCCTCACAGGGAGTCTTGGGCCCATGTACACCCACCATCATCATGTTGGTGCCTAGACAATAGGAGAAAAGGAAGGAACTCACACCCAGAACACTGATTCTCCATCTCTTACGCAACTCTGTAACCCCCCAAACCCTCTAACCCCCTTCAGTATTGTTCCCGTTCTCCCAGTATCTCACACAGCCCCCAGGCCTTCCTTTACAGCCCTACCTGCTTTGCTACAGTCCACTGTGAAGGAGTTCTTCTGGCCTATGAAGGCCTTGGTCAGCCCGGGGCCCCTGGTCACCACCTTGCTGGCATCTGAGGAGAACTTGGGGATGGAGCTGTAGCTGGAGCCACGGCTGGAGGATGACTTGGTCACTGTCTCCACCAGCACCGTGGAGGTCTCATGAAGGCTGTGGCCTCCTGACAGCCGGGGCCCTGGGGATGAGATTGGGAAAAGGACCATGAGCAGGGATGGACTCTGACCCCTTGGGAGGCGAGAGGACAGATGGGCAGAAGAGCTTTCTCCCCTAGAGAGAGCCAATGGGCTGTGCTCCCAGTGAAACCTGCCTGGGGTAGGACTTGTCTTGCCTTTGAAATTTCCCAGAGACAGGGCTGAGCCAGAGAGCATTCATAGGATTTGGAGTTGAAAAGGACCTTAGTGCTCATCTGATCCAATCTCCTCCTTTAAATGTCTGAATTTTTTAAAATGTAACTCTTAACTTCTTTAAGAATGTTTTATTGACACTTTACAAAAAAGTTAATATCACTTCCCAGTGATCCTCACCTTCTCTTCCCCACCCTCCCAACAGAACTCTCTCCTAAAATGAACAAATTGGCCATGTCTGCAGCTGTGGTCCACCACCTTTTTCCAAAAGGGCAGGAGGCATTCTTTATGCTCAAGTCTTCTGAAGCCCCAATAGGTCTAATTCCCTCATTTTACTAGTGAAGAAATGTGTAGGAGAAAATATTCCATTCCCCTCCCAGGCAATGACCTACCACCGACCCACTTTCTTATGGTAAGTACTTAAGTTTGTAGCTCTAGAAATGGAGATGTTTTTGCACCATGCCAGCCACACCATCTGGCCCAAGAATAACAGCAACTCCAATTTCTGTAGTGCGGGACTCTTGGCTGCAGCTAAATCTGATCTTATTTTATCCACATTTGCATATTGTACTCCTAAGCTTCTAATAGAGCTATGTAAATAAGACCTAGTCCATGACTTCCTGAATACCCAAGGCAGCACTACCTTACAGAAAGACTCTTGCTTTATAAAAAGATGCACCCAAATGTTTCCAGAAACCACCAGCTCTGTTTGTTGGACATAATGGTTTGCTGATGCATCTCAATACTTTGGAAGAAAAGGTGGGAAAGGAAACTGCAAGGCAAGCTAAGGCACTGCTAAATGAAAACCAATGGGGAGGAAGGAAAGGGGCTGTGAAAAGAGCCTGGGATTGGGAATCCAAGGAGCAGTACTTGAATCCAGCCTCTGCCACTTTGTACCAGTGTGACCCTCAGCCGATCACATCACCTCTGCTGGACTCTGGTCCTTTGTCTATGAAATGAGGGCATTGACTAGATGACCAGTTCTAAATCCATGACCCTATCATCCCATGATTCTCTAAAATATCTCAGAAGACAATGGCAAAGGCAAACAAGTAACACCAATGGTTTACAAAGTACTATTCAGGAATGTGTTTGCTCTATAAAGCAAGGCACACTTATAATCTGAAAGTTTGCCGATTAAATGCAGACAAATACATCTGCCAAATTGGTTTAATTTTATCACAGTTTGGGGGGGGGAAATAATATAAATCCAGAGGACACCCAACAGCACCACCCCTGCCTTCCTAGAACCATGCCAGACCAGCAAGGTGAGTAGGGTCCCAGGCTGAAGAAATCTCTCACCTGTAACCTTAGCCTTGAAGGGGCTGCCCACAATGTGCTGGGGGCCGCCATATTTGATGGCGATGAGGTAGTTGCCTGGGGCCATAGGGGTGTAGGTGACCACATGGCCCTCTGGGCATTCCCGACAGTCCAGCTGCACTTTGGAGGGGCCATCAATGGTAACAGACAAGGCCCCTGAGCCGGCATTCAAGGTGTTCACGATGAACTCAGAGGACACACCTATAGAATGAAAGAGTGGACGTGTAGAACCATCTGTGATCATGGGAAGGAGTCGTCAGCCCTCCTGGACTTCTGTGTCATTTTCTAGCTCTACCTCTTCCCTTAAAGTGCTCAGCTGACTAGCGCCCAGCCCCAAGTCCAGTGCTTACCAGTAGTTCCTCCCTCAAGCCCAGGACCATAGGCTGAGACCAGCCCTGGGTCTCCAGCTTGGCTTTGCTCTCCAACTCGAATCTTGAAGGGGCTCCCAGGGATGTGAGAACCATTGAACTTGACATCGATAGAATGGACACCATTCTCATGAGGGATAAAGCGAATGGTGTGCTTGTCTGTAGAGAAGAAGGGATCAACAGATGAGTCCTCCCTGATTCCTACCTGCCCAGAGGAGGTGGTTAGATACTCCTAGGGTTGTGGGGCCTAGATGTTTCCATTTTGACAGGAAAGGAAGTCCCCAGGGTTTGTATCTCAAGAACAGCCTGTAGTAAGCAGATCAATTCTGAATTTGGATGGACAGGGTATGGGGACCTAGGGCATGAGATAGTGGCACTGGGTGAAGAACAATGTCTTTACCGCTGTCTAGCTCAGAGACGTAGCACTCCTCTACAGCCCCTGAGGGGGTGTGGACCCTGGCATCAATCACACCACGGGCACCATTCAGCTGTACTGCAAAGGAAGCTGGTTGGTTCACCTTCAGTCCAGTCTCCTGCAATGAAGCCAGATAAAAATATAAGCCAATAAGAAAAATAAGCCAGACCCCTACATCTCAACATCCACTGGATCCCCTGACACCCAGAATTAGCCAGAGCCTGGGCAAGGTCCCAACCCAAAACAATCCCTAGGATGCTGCCCTCCCGATTTCCCTTGGCTACCCAGGCTCTAGGGCCCTCTCTTTGACATCATTCCTTCAACACTGAGTTCAAAAAGAACCCAGATTCAATTGGGAGCTACACATCTAGGAGCAGAGGTCTGGGTAATTCTCTTTGCAGATGTCATTGCTATGCTCTGTATGTTGGGTACTCAAGAAGGGCTTCAGGGTGATGGTGGTGATCATTCCATCATGTAGTGGATGCCTACCATTGTCTTCAGTGCTATTCCCACATTTACATAGTACATTAAGTAAATTAAGACTTTATTCACAGCCTGTTGAGGTCAGTAGCACAAGTTTGCTTATCCTTATTTTATAGATGAGGAAACAGGCTCAAAAAAGGTTATATGCCCAAGGTCGTGGTGTCAGGAAGTATCAGGAACTTAGATATAGGTCTTCTTTCTTCAAGTCCAGTACTCTTAATACTATGCCATTTTTTTGGTCTTTTTTTGTTTGACTATGCATTTTTATTACTGTATAAAGGTTTTTTCCCCTTTTTGGGGGGGCAGGGGCAAGGCAATCCGGGTTAAGTGATTTGCCCAGAGTCACACAGCTAGTAAGTGTCAAGTGTCTGAGGTCAGATTTGAACTCAGGTCCTCCTGACTTTAGGATCAGGGCTCTATTCACTGCACCACCTAGCTACCCCTTTTGTTTTTTGTTTTTTATTTGGGGAGGGGATGTGGGAAGGAGAAAAAAAAATGCTTGTTAAGTGAGGAAATTATGAAAGGTTTTTTAAATGATAAAAACACTCTACCATGTTGCCTTTCTGCCCTCAAGACCTTATGTTGGCAAAGGATATATTTATAAAGTATTGGTAAGGTAGAAAGAGCACTGGACATGAAATTAGAAGACCTGAATTCATTTGTCCAGTTTAGAATAACAAAGAAATAAAGGGAAAAAAAAAGATAACCTTGCTTCATTCATCGTGCCCTCCCTTGAATATTCTACCATAGTAGCTTAGGAATAGCAAATTAGAGCTGGGGTGTGGTGAACAGCAGGCCCACTGAGAGATGTACAAAGTGACAGCTAATAGCCCAACACTGAAGAAGGTGAGGAAAACTACTTAAGAAAACAAGCAGCAGCAATCCTCAACAATCACATCAGTCTGGGCCTATTTAGGAGAGAGGCTAATAGCCCAGAAAGACCTGTCAGCATTACTCATGTATTATAGCAGCCCAAAAAGTGATGTTCACAGTAAAGACCCAAGTCTCCAGGAAAAGTTAAATTATATTCAAAATGCTCTGTTTTAGAAGGCAGTAAAGTACTATCTTCTGGAAGCTTCTATCAAAAGTGGTTAAAAACAACTGAGGTTTTAAATGTCAATACTTGTTTCTAAGCCAGTGGTGAGCACTTAATGAGGGCTTAGGAAATGTTGCCAAAGGTCTGAGCCTTCTCTAAATATCATACAGTTCTGTACCATGTAGACAGAAATTTGGGGATGCTAGATGCATCTCTAGGGGCAGCTCCCTTCCTCTTCTAGGGAGTCCCCAGTGTACCCCAACCCCACAATCTAGAAAGCATTCACACCTGAAGGCTAGTAACGGTGAGGCGCCGGGCATCATCAGAGAGGGAGGCCACAGGTACCACGAAGGGGCTGTCGGGGATGTGTTCATCATTGAACTTGATGGAGACCTCATAGTCACCTGGAGAAATAAAGCCCATCTCAGAACTGGCCCCCAGACGAAGGCCAGCCTATTACTCTTCCCACAGCAGACCACTAGGACCATGGCAAAGCCCCAAGGGCAATGTATCTAAGGTGAACAAACACAGTATCCCAGAGGACATGGAATAGGGCAAGAATCACAAGCCCTTTGAATCAGAAGAAGCCTCAGATACACTCTGGTTCGACCCATATCCCAACAGGCATCCCAAGGAGAGAAGGATCTTGGGGGAAGGGAGGAAGGAAGGGGGAGAGGGCTTAGGGTCATGGGGAGGAACAGAGGCAGCAGTGCCCTAGAGAGCCATAACTACTACTACCTTATTAAATTTAATCTACATGTAAACCAAATTGTATATAACAAAAGTTCATGGTTTCTGATGTAATCCTCTTTCTTGTTTTCCTTTGCATATTGAAATGTTTGTGTTTGATGGTGATTGTTAAATCCATAGGAATAGGGGCCAGACCTGTGATTTCACTGATATAGGGATTCTCAGGTAAGGAAATTCCCTGTACCAATTCAGTTGGCACCTTCTCTGCATCTTACATTCTCAGAGAGTCGCTCAGAGCTCTGGGGAGTTCAGTCAGGTGCCCAGGCTCATACATTCAGTAGGTGCTAGAGGCAGGGCTTGAACTCAGGGCTTTTAGGATCTGAGGCCGGCTCTCTGTGCACTATACCGTGCTGGGCCTCTGATGATTCAGAATGAGAAAAAATTGAAGAGTAGTAATTATCCCAGATTGTTCAGCAGGGCTCCAGATGTGGGACAGCTGACCTGAGGTCTTCCCCACAAGATCTCTCTGGCCCTTTCCCAGCTAGCTACCTGGTTCCTGCACGATGTAGGAGACACCACAGGAACCATCCTTGCGGTCCTCAAATGCGATCTCAGCCTTGCTGGGCCCCTCCACAGCAATAGATAGGCCTCCAGCACCTGCCTCCCGGGTCCAGATGCTGAATTCAGCTGAGGTACAGAGGAGAGAAGGGGTTTGAAAACAATCTCCAAAGTCTAACATCCAAACCAGACAAGACTGCCCCACACCTAACCCAGTCTGGGCCAACTAACCAGAGATTGACCCATTTTGCTGTCCCAGGCTCGGTACTCACCCACCTGAAGCCATTACCATCCCCGACCCTGTGATCTCCCCTAACTAGTTTCTCATCCCTCCTCATCCTGGCTTCTTTTACCTGGCACTCCAGCAACAGCACGCTCAAGTCCTGTGCCCCCAGCTCGCACCTTGTGGGCACCCCCTTCACCAAGGGGCCCCACGGTGAACTGGAAGGGGCTGCCGGGCACATGCTGGCCACGATACTTGACAGTGACGGTGTGAGGCCCCATCTCTTTGGGCACAAAACGCACGCTGTAGGCACTATTCTCTCCCTCCAGGATCTCTGCTTCTTCAGTCTTCCCTGACGGGCTTGTCACCTGGGCTGTCATGTCCTGGGAGCCTGCCTCACCTGAGAGACAAAACAGGGATGTGTGGGAAGATGAGGTGGTGGTTCATCAAATAACAAGCATTTATTAACCACCGGCTATACATATATATATGACAGGCTGGGGGTAGATGCTGGGGATACAGATGCAAAGAATGAAACCATCCCTATTCCCAGTGAACTCATGCTCTGCAAAGCCCTTTGCTCTGACCCTTGTCCAGACTCTCACAGCTTCACAGCAGTGTTGGATCTCAGAGAGAACACCCTGGCCAGCATCTAGTAAACTCCTGGCTCTTTCCCGCTAAGTACAGCGAAGGAGAGACAAGGGATGGGCACTTGGGAACAAAAGTATAAGGGCTTAAGCCGAAGACACTGAAACTAATACCAAGGGATTAGAAATGACCAATCCCTAACCCCAAACTACTGACCAGACTCTAATCTTGCCTCCGTCTTGTCCAGCCTAGCCCAAGGGGCTCAAATACACTCCCTCTGACCATCTTCCATATCCAGGGCCAATTCTGACCATGGGTAACTTCTAGAGCATAGTCACAGGATGACTTACATGAAGCCAGGGCCAACTGGCTATACCCACTCATATCCCCCCCAAAGGGCATGTGGGCAAAAATCTACCCTGTTTTCTGCATAATGGCTAGCATTTATGTATTGTTTAAAGTTTTACCATTGCTTTCTATCTGTTACCTCCTTCAATCCTTACATAATTCTGGAAGCTAAGCACTATTATCTCCATTTTGTAGATGAAGAAACGGGAGTCTGAGAAAGGTTAAATGACTCACCTAGAGTCACATAACTAGTAAGTATCTGAGGCAAGATTTGAACTCAGAATTTCAGCAGTCTTTTCTCCACTACACTAACTGACTGCCTATATTGTCAGGTCTTTACCTGGTACAAGATGATAGATGTCTCCTTGTAACCATCTCCACTTACCTTCCTGCTGCCTGCTAATACTGCCAAAAGAGCCAATGCGTTCACGACCCAGGAAATCTCCAAAGACGGCAGGGAAGGGGTCTCCCCCAACTTGAGTGGACTCCTCCACCCTGACCTCTCGCTTGGTTTCTCCACCCCGTGTTTTGCTGATCTCTGTCCTCTCTGTCCGTGTATATGTATGACTACTCCTTGTGAATGTTCTGGTCAGGCGCTCCTGGGCAGAAACCATCTGGAACCAGTTTCCTGGAAGAGAAGAGGGTGGTGGATGAGCAGGGAGTAGAAACCAGAGAGGAAGAGAAGGAATGAAGGAGAGGAAGGAAGGAAAGCATCGATAAAACACAAAGAATCCAGTGTTGGACCCCACTTCCAACCCCTGCATCTCCCACCCTGGCTCTGGACTCTTACCTGGGATCTTGAGGTTGAGGTCACAGGTGCTCCCTACAGAGGCAATGGAAGCTGCCTGCCGGCGGCGGGTGATACTTTCCTTCATCCGTCCCTCTCCAGTAACCTTCACAGTGAATGGGCTCCCTAAAGAAGAAGGAGGGAGTCCTCAGGCCTCTTCTGAGCCCTTCCCCTCCTGCTCCTTCAAGTGCCCACCACTAGCTTCTCTCAGGCTCCTAGAAGCAACCTCTCCACACACACACACACACACACACACACACACACACACACACACACTCTGGCAGCCCCCGGCCTCTCAGCTCACCAGGCACATGCTTGTCAGCAAACTTGATGTTAATGGTGTAGTTGCCGGGCTCGGTGGGACAGTAGGTCACTTTACAAGTCCCATCCTCCATGTCCTCACAGTTGATGTCCACCTTGCTGGGACCTTCAATGCTCAGCCCCAGACCACCATACCCTGTGGGAAAGTGAGTGACACAATGGCCTCAGTGCCTGGCCCACCACTCTCCTCTTCTTCAAGGGCTTCAACTCTAGGCCTGGGTGGGGGGGGGGGGCAAGTCTTGGCACACAATTATGCCCTCGAAGTACTTTCTGGTTGACTGACTGACTGACTAGTGATTATTGGGTCTGGAAAGGGGTTGAGGACAAACTTAAACCTTTCCTCTAAATAGGCCTACTGACAAAGGGAGCTGTTCTCTCCCTTCACTTCCTAGGCATGGACTGTACAAAAACTAGAAAGAATACTTTCCCACCCCAAGCCTAAGACACATGCACAGAGCAAATTAAGCTCTCCCTCAAAGGACCCAAGAAGGTAAATCTCAAACCTCTTTGGGGCAGAAGTTGTGTGTGGCCAATAATAACACCTCCACACGTTTCTATAGGTTTTTTTTTAAGGCTTATTAAGCACTTTGCTCATATCAGTTCTATATGGTAGTACAAATATTGTTATCCCCATTTTTCAGATGAGAAAATGGACTCAGAGAGGTTATGTTACCTGTCAAGGGCTACCCATCTAATAAGTGACATATGTTGGTAAGGGGCTTAAGTGCTGAGAAGGATTCAGACTAGGACTGAGCTGGGGACATGGAAAGTCACTTGGAAGGGTGTGATGCCCTGAGGCTAAGAGGCTGTAGAGAAGAGAGACTGGTACCAAGCGATACATACCTGCATTCCTTGTGTCCACAATGAATTCTGCCACCTGGAAGGTGTGGCCTTCTGACAGACCTTTGCCCCACACTCGAACTTTGCTAGCATCACCAATCTCTGAAGGCCCCACAAGAATCTTGAAGGGACTGTTGGTGACATGCTTCCCACTCTTTCGAACGCTCACTACATGCTCGCCCACCTCTTTGGGCGTGAATGAGATACCTAGTGGGCACAGAGGCATGGGCATCAGGGACCCTACCCCTTGGCATTGCTGAGAATACCTTCCCACTCACACCAGCTCCCAGACATGGAAGGACAGTGAATCCGGGTATGTATTCCCAAGCCCAGGAAGAGTAGGGTTCCTAGGCTCCCTCCTAGGAGCCATTGCTGGAGAGTTATATCATCCTACTGCCTTCCTCACTCACCAATATGCCGGTTAGGCAGCCTCTTGAGCAGGCAGGGCTCCTCATTGCCCGAGGGAGCCCGGATGCTGGCCGTCAGCAGACTCAGATCACTCTCGGTGATCTTCAGTGACACGTCCGTGGATGTGCCCACATTCAACTGTGAAGTCCGCATTGAGTCATCACCTGGGCACAGGGGGTAAGAACTGAGATCCTGGCCATGTCTCCCTTCCTCCCTTCCAATCCCAGATCAATCAATTCTCAGAATCCGCTTGCTTCAAGAAGCCTTCCCTAATTAACTCTCATATGATCTTGATCACTTTTTCACACTTTGCATCTTATTAAATTCAATTCATTTCAATATATCAAACACATATTAAGCAACTACTGTGTACAACATACTTATGAACCCAGGTTGTGCTATGACACAAAAGGAGCAAAAGCCCCACACTGGGTCAAGTTCACTCAAAGTCTCTACACTGTGAACATATAACACAGTCAAGTGTTCTGCCTGAAGAGGGGATTAATGAGTGTATTGTGGTAAAGCCCATTTTCCATGACCTCCACCTCCAGATAATAGGGATGTGCTCCTAAATATGATAGAATGTAAGCTGCCAGAGGACAGGGCCTAGTACATTTTGTCTTTGTATCCCAAATATCCAGCACGTAAAAATCCACATAGCATGGGGCACATAGTAGGAACTTAATAGATGCTTGTGGATTAATCAGTTTCTACCTCCCCTTAATTGGGGAGTTCTCATTCATAAATTTTTCACATGGACATGAGTAAGAATCTAGCATAGTAACAATGGTGACTTGTGCACCAGAAATAGCATGAAAGAGCTAATCAGAGTACTGAAAGCCTGGAAAAGAAGGTAGGCCAGTCATGTAGTAGTGATCCTGAGGGATAACAGATAATTAGCCTGAGTGCATTATAGGCGCTGACATAATACAGGGGGTCCTTTAAGCTTTCATTGTTTAAAACTGCACTGGGACTCCCTGAATTAAGAGGCCTAGAGGAAGGCTACCAGCATGCTGAGGGGCCACCCTTCAAGGGGTTTATGAGAACACATGGACAAGAGTAACACAGGAGAAGAGAGGGAGGAAAGAGGCAGAACAGATATGGATAGTTGTGATCTTCAAACCTGGAGGTTATATCCATGTTGTTGAGGTCACTGACCCATTGGAATATTCACTTCCTAATCCCTTACTGAAGCTGTTTCATTCAAGGTACCATGCTTGAAGAAAGGCACTGACAAACTAGGGAACATTCCAGGAAAGTGACCCAGCTGTGAGGGCCCCTAACAACCCTATCAGATCATTAACGGTTGAACTGTGTATATTTAGCCTAGAGAAGAGAAGGTTTAAGGAGAGCCATGATGGCTATCTTCAATCATCTAAAAGGCTCATTGTGTAGAATTGGTAGCGGACTTTTCTTTTGTAATTCCAAAAGACCAAGGGCCAAAATGGGTGAAAGATTTGGGGTTTGATATAAAAGAATTTTTCATTGATTTAGCCATATGACAATGGAATAGGCTACTTTGTATGGTAGTGAGCTCCCTATCAGTGGACATGTTCAAGATAAAGGTGAATTACTTGATGGGAATATTGTAGAGGCACTTCTTAGAGGGAGTGGGAAGTTGGATGAGATAACCTCTACAATCCCTTCCAACTCAGTCTGTCCTTACAGTTTATACATTGTTAATTACTTCCATAAAGCTACATCAGACAAAACAATGCTATAAAATCCAGTTAGTCCCACAGGAACAATGTTCTAAAATGTTAATAGCCTGGCTGTCAGACTAGTATTAATTATTCAAACGGTTGATTAATATTACAGTCAAGTTTTGTTTGGAAAGGTTTCATGATGCTGTAGTAGTAGAATATAATGTAATATAATGAATATAACATAGTTTTTATGAAATTTTGTTAGTTGGGTGATATTTGGAATATGTATCACTACAGTTTCAATTCACCAGCTGGAGAAGTAGTGTGGAAGAAGGAGTGCTTGTCCTAGTCTGAGGAGACCTGAGTTCTAATCTTGCCTCAGGAGCAAAAGTGTGTGAGAAAAGGAATATGAAAGATGGCTGGGAAGTTAAATTGTAGCCAGAACACACTGGACCCTGAATGCCAAGCTAAGGAGTTTATGCTTTATCCTATTGGCAAAAGGGAACCATGAAAGGCTCTTGACTGACCAGGGAAGTGTCATAACCGGATCTACACAGTAAGAAGATTATTTTAGCAGCTGCATGGAGGATGTATTAGATTAGGGGGAGACTGGAGGCATGGAGATTAATTAGGAGACTATTACAATGATCTGGGGAAAAGAGGAAACAAGGGCTTGAAGTAGGGTAGTGGCAGTGAGAAGGAAGAAGAGAGGGGAGCCATCAAAATGGAATCTTCTGGAAGCTTTCACTTACCCTAAAACTACCTTTTTTAAATTTCAAGAGGATGTCCCTTAGGCTCTCCTGTTCTGGGGTTTACTAAACAAGCAGTTCTCTCTCCCTGATACGTTGCCTTTATAAACATTCTTGTTTGATCCACATGTGTTTATGCTGTGTCTCCCCAACGGGGGCCATACGGATCCCTAAGGTCAATAACCCGACTGTATCCTTCACGCGCTCTCCCACATCAAGGACAAGGCTTAGTCTTGGGGGTACAGAAGAACAAATGGTACCTGTGATCTTGGCAGTGAAGGGACTCCCTGGGATGTGCTTGTCATCAAAACGGACTATGATGCTATAGTCCCCGGGAGCGGTAGGGAGGTAGGATACTGTACAGGTGCCATCCTTATTGTCCTTACAGGTGATCTCTGCCTTAGATGGGCCTTCCACAGCAAGAGACAGGCCCCCTAAGGGAGTGTTGGAGGAACCAATGTTAGAGATGGCCAGGGTCCGGGCTGTTTGCAACTCTCCCTCACACCCCACTCTACCCCCAAATTTCATCTCATCCATGTACTTACCTTCCCCAGCATCCTTGGTGACAATTGTGAAGGTGGCTGGCTTGTTGACCATGCCGTGGCTCAGGCCTGGCCCATAGGCACTCACATGGCGGCTATTGATGGCATCAACATAGAACTGCATGGGACTCCCTTGGGGAGGGAGAAGGGAGCACAGGATTAAGGCACAGGAGATCCAGAGGTGCTCTAACTCCTTCCCATCAATCCTTCCAACTTTTCAACATCCTTACACCTACATATATTTATTTATTTACTGAGGTAATTGGGGTTAAATGACTTGCCCAGGGTCACACAGCTAGTAAGTGTCTGAGGCCACATTTGAACTCAGATCCTCCTAACTCCAGGATCAGCGTTCTATCCACTGTGCCACTTAGCTGCCCCAACACCTACATATTTAAAGTTGCCTGTAGCCTCCTCTGCTTCTAAGTAACCTAACCCCTTACCTCATCTCCCAGCTCCAGGACATCCCCCAGTTACCTTTCCAATGGGCTCCTTATCCCCAACCCTACGTTCCCCAAACTGTGCTGTCTTTGATGGTCCCTCAGCTGCCTTAAATAGTTCCTGGCTCTGCTGACTCTCACCCCACCCAGATCTTAGCACCCCTCTCCAATCAACTTACCAGGAATGTGATTGCCATCATATTTGATTCCCATCTCGTGTAGTCCCTTCTCACTGGGCGCGTACCTCACTGTGATGGTGCCATCCTTATTATCTGTGATATTGGGCCTTGCAGTCTTCCCCGAGGGCATCCGCACCTCACCTGGTAGGCCAGGGTATAGTCAGTATCACAGAGGTAGAGACATCTGCCCCTTTCACCCCACAAATCTACCTGGTCTCTACTCCCCCATCCCATTATTTTCCAAGACGGCAAAATCTTTTCCCACTCCCGTGTCTCAGGAGAGTCTAACTTAGCCTCTCTCCATGTTGCTCCTATCTAGTAGGGTTGGCTGCTTCCCTGAGAAGGGAAGAGAACATGACCATTTTGTTCTACCAGGCCAGGAGACCTGCTTAAGCTCAGGAAGCAATTATGGTATACGTAGAAAAAAGCAGCCTGTACCAATGATCCTAAGGCCTGGGTTCTCATCCTGGCTCTGTCACTAACAAGCTATGTTGCCTCTGCAAAGTGAGGGAGTTGTACTAAGACAATCTCTAAATAATCTTCCAATTCTGAAATTCTCTGCTACTCTGACCCTAGAAAGATGGTACCTGTGATCTCTCCCTTCTGGACTGTAAATGGGATAACCAAGTTGAAGGGTCTCAACATGGACTCCATGGGCTCTGCTGGGACCACTGGCTCATCTGTGGCCTTGGGGAAGGGGGAAAGAAGAAAGGCATGATTAGTAACAGCCACTCAAGGAAAGTAGAAATCCCACTCCATACCCCAAAAGAAAGTCAGAAGGAAAAAAGGGAGAAAGGAAAGTAAAGTTAATGGCAGGAAGTGGTTCAGCAGAAGAGAATACAGGAGCTGCAAGAGAAGAGGGGGAGGAAAAGAGGATGAGACACTGTGCTTGCCAGGCTCAGAGACAGGCTCCCCATTCCCTGACACGAGGCTTCCGGCTCAGACTCCTGTGACAATGCACCCTCCCAGAACTGGGCACATCATTCACATATCCTATGCACACCCTGTCTGTTTTTGGGGGGGGACCCTAACTCTGAAGGGAGGCATTTGAACCTAACATGACCCTGAAGGCTGAGAATAAGAAAGAAAGGGGAGGAAAGGGAAGACAGAGACCCCTCTGCTAACGCAGGTACCCAATGGGTGGGGTAGCTACTGGGCTGGTGTGTAGGGAAGGGCTGGCGCAGCTGTAGGGTATCACACGGCTCCTCCACGTGGGGAATGGGGTCACACGCCTGAGGAAGCAAAACATGGAATAACATGGAGTTATGGAGGATCACTCTAGGCTGACAGCACAGTGCTTAGTTCACAGACGATACTTAATAAATGGTCCAACACAGGCCAATATGCATCATCCTGGTGGAATAACAGACAACAGAGGTCGACATAGTCCCCAAAGCTGATGTGAGAAGAGGCTTACACGAGTGACTGGGCCTTTGGAGTACTGATGAGCTCAAGTGCTCTCCCTCAAAGGACTAGGGATTCAGACCACTGTCCTGCCCCCACCTCTGGGGATGAACGGCCAGAGAAGGTAGGGGCAGGGTGGACACAAGTCCATTGGCTGAAAGCTTCCAACTTCATAGGAATGGCTAAATTCTCAAAGAGGATGGAGGGGAATGGCTGCTACTCTGTTCTCATGTCTACATGAAAGTACGTTCAGAGCTGGTACCCAGGAACAGGAATGGTGCTGAAATCAGAAGTGTTCTGTGCGATTGTCACAAAGGTCTACTAAGTAAATGAGACTGTATCTGACCTGAATGAGCCCCCCCCAATCTGAAGTATAGGAAAGTACTTTAGAATGGAGTTTCACCATACACATTATATATATACCATAATACAATATATTATATAATTGCATTATATGTCATATACAATGCCCCAGCCTGCCTCTAAAAGGGCCTAATTCTCAGGTCTAATCTGTGGTCTCCCTCCTCCCTGCCCCTCTACCCTCAGGCACTTACCAATACATGGAAGGGGCTGTTAGGAATGTGTTCTCCTCCAAACCGGATGGTGATGACATACTTGCCCGGCTCAGGGGCAGTGTAGTAGATGTCAAAGGTGCCGTCATGGTTTTCTACAACATCCACATCCAGCTCTGCCCCATCTGGGGTCGACACCGTGCATGTCACCTTGCCCTTTCCTGCTGCCTTGGCATCCACTGTGATAACCGTCTCCTCCCCAATCTGAATGCGAGGACCCAGGCATGCACCTGTAAGACATGGTCAGGGCCATGTGGCTTTCCAGTTGGCTTGGCCACATGGGAAGAACAGGGGAGAGCATTTGATGAGGGCAGAAGAGGCAAATGTGATCAGGGACTTTTCAGGAGAAAGAGAGATGATCAAGAAGAGTGATGGCCATCAGGAGAGACAGTGAGGTGTCCTCACGAGTCATGGCTCAGTCAGAGGATCTTACGGTTTTCATGTTGGACAGGACCCTTGAGACCATCCAATCCAACCCCCTTCATATTGCACAAACGACAAAAGGGAGACCCAGAGAAGTGCACAGACACTTGGGGCTAAATCCCCATCTCTTTTTATCCCTGTGGCCCAGACCCTCACATAGAAAGAATAGATACTGTACTCACCTAGGCCATGACCGCCGATGGACACTGAAAAGAGACAAGAGTGTGAGACTGGTGCAGACAGAGCATGGACAGCATTCGGGGGACTGGGGCAGGGACAACAGTGGCAAGGAGAGAAGGAAAGCTCTGACCTCTATTTCCCCCTCAGCTCCATAGCCCCTGCTATGTGTGGCAAGTACATGTGCGTGTACTATGTGTTGGGTCTATGAAGTTGGGTGTATGAAGTCTATGTGTTGGGTGTATGAAGGATTATGAGGGGCAGCAGCAAAACTGATAGGAAGGGACCAAAGTGGGGTGCTCACCAGTGACAAGGCACTTGCTGGCATCCCCAGTGGGCAAGGCATGGATTCGGAAGGGGGAGTAGGGGATCTCATCACCCCCATACTTGATGGTGATGGTGTATCGACCACTCATATCTGGCAGGTAGGATACAGTGTATGTGCCATCCCCGTTGTCTCGGATATTGGCCTTTTTGGGTTTGCCCTCAGGGTCCTGGGGTGGGAGTAGAGGAAAGAGATATCAGTGTCAGGTATAGAGCTTACACCAGCTGTCCTTGCTCCAAACTTGGGACCCCCACCCCCTTGAAATGGACTATGCCCTTGCCCCTGGACAAGGAGAGGCCCTCACCAGAATCTGGACAGTAAGCAGTCCCTCTCCAGCATCTCTGGCATCGATGGTGAACTCCACAGGAAGGCTGGCTGGGATGCCTGAAGCATTGAGCCCAGGACCGCTTGCTCGGACCTTGCTGGCATCATGAGCTGGCAGCACCTTGATCTTGAAGGGGCTTAGAGGTAAAAGGAATGAGGCGTGGACAGTTAATGCAAGGGAATCGTTTCTCCCACCTACTTCTCTTCCCAAGGCTGGGTCCATACTCTACTCTCACAGGCATGCCAGATGCTGGGACTGTGGTGAGTGAGACAGAGATTACTGGAAGCAAGGGGCCAGGAGTTAATGGGGATCCAGGGAGGACAGTCACTCCTAGGTTCAGCAGGCCTCTTCCCCATCCCATTCAGTTGAGATCAACAGTATAGAGCAGAGGATGAGCCCCCAAGACCCAAGCATAGGGTGCTTTCTGGAGAACTTGAGTTTTTGAGGATTTCCCCTGCTCCCACAATCAGAGGAGTATCAGGTTTTGCCTTTGCCATAGCTGTCCACCCCCCAGACGGTTCTCATCCTGGCTCACCTGCGTGGCACTTCCTGGTCAGCATACTTGACAGCCACAGTGTATGGGCCATCAGTGGCTGGGGTATAGTTCACAGTGTGGGTACCATCCCCTTTATCTCGCACCTCGACTGGTTCTGCCACTCCTGGGGAGGGAGGAGAGTGCAGAAGAAATCAGACAGGTGGTCTCACAGGCCTCTAAGAAGATTCTGAGCTTATTACTATTCTTCCCTCCGCCATCTTACTTTTCTATGGCTTCCCAACTCTCTCCATACCTGTGGGTCCTACCACTGCCACCTGCAGCGGGGCTCGTCCAGCTTGACTACAATCTACTGTGAAGGTCTGGGGGACTCTAGCTCGGACACCAGCTCCCAGACCAGGGCCTGAACACTTCACCTTTCCAGGATCTACCACATCCTTCACTGGTACTCGGAATGGGCTCCCTGCAAGAAGAAAAAGGGGTTAACCTCCCAGAGACAGACTAAAACTCTAAGCTCCTCTCTTCCCCTACCCCTTATCACCACCACTAATATGCTGTAAGTACTAGATCCTGAGAGAGGAGAGGGAAGAAAGGATAGTCAGGGGCTTCATCCTCCAGAAACCAACAGTTCCAGAGTGGAGACAGGACCATAAGACAATGCATCAGGGCATTTTAATACCACCTATTAGTGTTTATAATGTGCTTTACGAGTACAAAGTGCTTGATACAGTATATGTATCCAACTTGATCCTCAAAAAGTAGGTGCTATCATCTTTATTTTACAGATGAGGAAACTGCAGCAAAAAGAAGTTAATTGACTTGCCCAGGGTCATAGAATGAGGAGTATCTGAGGCAGGATTTGAATTCAGATCTTCCTGACTCAAGTCCAGCACCCTGTCCACTATGCAATCTAGCCATCTCATGAAACACATCAGCACACAAACACGTACCAGCTAACTTAGATGTTGAGAACTACACGGCAAACCTAAATATTTCGGGGAGAGAGGCAGGAGGTGAAAGGAGGTGTCTTATCTGGATTGGTAGAAGCCCATGTTGGTAAAATAATTTAAAGAAATGTAAATAGACCTAGAGCTATTGTAAACTAAGTGGGAAGTAGACAGAGTGCTGGACCTGGAGTCATAGACACCTGAGTTTGATTCTGGCCTCATATATGTATATGTGTGTATGTATATGTATATATACACATACATTTACATATACATATATACACACATGTGTATATCTATATATCTCCTGACCTTCACCACTGCCTCCAGCTCTATCCATTTCTTTCCCTACCTTCCCACCACTCTTTCCACCACAATGCACCACCCTCCACGCCATGCCCTTTCAATCTCTCCCCTGCCTCAGTGACCATGCCTGGGATAGGACGCCCTCCAAAGGTGATGTTGACATCATAGTCTCCAGGGGTGAAGGGGATATACTCCACGCTGCAGCTGCCATCCTTGTTGTCTTTGCAGGACATCTTTGCTTCTGAGGGACCCTCAATAGCCAGGCCCAGGCCCCCAGTGCCAGCTCCCCTGCAGAACAGCCTCCGTTAGCTCAGGCATGACAAGAGATTAGGGGAGAGGGAGGGAGAGCCATGGTAAGGGAGGGAAGGGGAGACATGGGACTTTTTGGAGACTAAATGGGAGAGGTAAGATACGACTCCCCAGCAATACCTGCTATGTGCTGGTTTGGAATGTTTGGGTTTTCCCCTAGCCTTTATTGCATCCAGACAAGAGCTGGGGATGTTACGGGATAGGGATGAGAAATTGTTCTAGAAATTTTCCAGGGAGAAGGATCTAGGAATCCAGAGATGTAGCACACCACCTCCCTTCCCCATATTCACAGGTTTGAAGCTCTAGAACTGAAAGGGACACCCTCAAGTCCAGCTCTACCACCCCCCACCCCAATGAGGAAACTGAAGCCGTGGGAAGTAAAGTGACTTGCCCAAGGCAGCAATCAGAGGTGGGATTTGAAACCAGATCCTCTGACTCTCGAACCATCACTCGCCTTGGTAACCCAGGAGGGAAGGGGTGATGTGTGGAGGAGAGTGGGAGCAGGGACAAGCCATACCTGGTCTCCACGGTGAAGCGGTTAGCCTTGTTGACCAGCCCTCCCTCTAGGCCAGGCCCATAGGCCCGCACGCGGGATGGGTCACAGCCTTCAGTCACACCAACTCGGAATGGACTCTTGGGAACTGCCACTTCATCGTATAACACCTCCACCAAGTGGACGCCTGAGGACGGCAACATGACCCCACGCATCATAAGGCATGCAGAGGTTTGGGGAGAGACACCCGTCCCCAGTGAAGGGCCAGGGTGCCCGGATCCACCCTCCCCGTGCCCTGCTGCAGTGTGACTTCCTCCTCCCCCTGTTTGGTGACTGAACCCCGACGCCCCTGCCTCCTCACCCTCTTCATAGGCGGTGTACTGCACTCGGTAGGTGCCGTCCCCGTTGTCTGTCACGTAGGTGTCAGTCTTAGCTCCCGATGGATTGAGCACCCGTGCTGTCACATGGTTCCCACCTGTAGCAGTCAAGGATCGAGCGTCCACGGTGAACTCTGTGGTCACCTCTCGGAGAACACCTGGGAGCCAGGACAGAGGAGCAGGATGAGAAGGTCAGCCTTCACAGTCTCTCAAACACAGGCCCTTTCTTTTCCTGCCGTCAGACTAGAGCCCCATCCAGATGTCTTCTCCCTTACTTCCATATTTCCATTGTTGTCCCCATAATATGCCCCTCATTTATCTTTCTGAACCAAGCCCTGGCGGTCTCACATTTGTACCCTAGTATAAGCCTTTCATTGTGGCCTCTAGCCCTCCAGACCTCATTGGCAGGCAGCCCCACTCTCCTCTGCTCACCTTCCACACTTTGATACTCCCCACCTGGCCCGCTTCTTTCTCCACCCTGATACCTCAGCTACTGTTTTCCTCCTAGCATCTCCACTGAGGCAACATAATACCCCCAAAACCTTCTGATTGACTCTATCTTTTCCTTCATTCAGGCCAATCAACAATTCTCTTCCTTCTCTCACTCCTCCAATTCTCCTCATCCATCTCCATCATTTCCTGGTCCTTTAGCTCCTCCATACCACTCCCCCCTCATCTACTCAATCTCCTCCAGCTCCTTACTTTCCCCTTTTCTAACTTCTCTAATCTCTTTTTCCCCCATTTACCTTCCACATCTATCTTCCTAGCCTCTTTTTCCAACCTGATAACTCAACTCCTCCCACTTGCTCCCAGTTCCCCATCTTTCCACTCACCATGGGGCTCCACACCAGGCCCAGAGACCTTGATGCCGCTAGTATCAACCGCAGGCTGGACGTGGACCCGGGAAGGGAATTTGGGGACAGGGTGTCCTCCATATTTGATGGTGATGGTGTAGATGCCAGGGAAAGCAGGGCTGTAGGTGATGTGGTAGGTGCCATCAGCATTGTTGTGGATCAGCACCTCAGCCTTCACTCCGGCATCAGACAGGATCTCGATGGTCAGCTCGGCCTCTCCCGCTTCTGAGCAGTCCACGGTGAAGGTGGCCGCTTCACCAGCCTTACCTCGCTCCAGCCCAGGCCCACTAGCCCGAACCTTGCTAGGGTCAAAGACTGGTCGGATGTCTGCCTTGAAGGGTGAGCCAGGAATGTGGGCCTCAGCAAAGAGGATATTGATGGTATACTCACCTGGCTCTGTGGGCAGGTAGCTTACCGCACATGAGCCATCTCCATTATCCTGGCATTCAATCTTGGCCTCACAGGGACCTTCTACTGTCAGCCCCAGGCCTCCTGTTCCTGCACCCTTGGTGTCGATGGAAAACGGTGCTGGTGTACCCACCAAGCCACCCTTGAGTCCAGGGCCATAGGCGCACACCTGGGGAAAAAGAAGGGGTAGAAGACACATAGGGATGACAGCCTCTTCTTGGATCACCCCAAGTAGTCCAGTTTGCTCACTCTAGACCCTCAAACATCTGCCACGTCCCCAGGATCATCCTGTCTTTCAGAGGTCTTGGACAGAGAGGGTCCCGGTGTCTTGTCCTTAGAGAAGGAGATGAGCCCCACTCATGCTGGGTGGGAATGCTACTCCTTCTCTCCTACTACCTAAATCCTACCCACCCAGGTTAAATCCTACCTCCTTCACGAAGACTTTCCTGACTATTTCTTTTTTTTTTTTTTTAGTGAGGCAATTGGGGTTAAGTGACTTGCCCAGAGTCACACAGCTAGTAAGTGTTATGTGTCTGAGGTCGGATTTGATCTCAGGTCCTCCTGACTCCAGGGCTGGTGCTCTATCCACTGCACCACCTAGCTGCCCCCTGACTATTTCAAACCATAATAATCTCTCCCTTCTCTGAACCCCTAAAGCATTAAGTTATGCCAAGCCAAGGCAAAGCAGACAGATGATGCAGTCCTTACAACTGTACTGTTACACATGTGGTACTTTCTTTATAACTTATATTCTTAGGGCTGGCAGAACTTCTAAACATTTTTTTTAGCAGACTGGTAAAACATATGGATTCCTCAGAGTAATATTTTCAAAGAATTGAAAGAAATGCTTAAGTTTCCACTAGAGGTTAGTGAAAATAAAGATGTAATTTTTTTCCCATCCAAGTTCACAAACTTCCTGAAATCTCAGTGAAGACCCTTCATCTTAAGCATTAAAAGTTTGAGTAACTTGTTCACGGTCACACAGCCAGTATGTGCTTGGGGTAGGTCTTAAACCCAGAGGGTCCCAAGGCCAGCTCTCTATCCACCAAGCCATGTTCTCTCTCACTATTTTATAATATTCTTTGTTTTGTGTGCATAGTCTTGGCTTCCCCCCAAGATCATAAAATCTTGGAAGGTTGAGGATGTGGCTTTCTTTCCTCTGTATCCCCATTGCACTGACCTCCATGTCTATCCTGTAGCAAATGCCCAGTAAGCATTTACCTAGCCTTTCGAGAGCTCTCTAAGGTTTGCAAAGCACTGTACATGTGTCATCCATGATCCTCACAACAACACAGGAGGGAGGTGCTATTATTTTCCCCATTTTTACAGATGAGGCAACTGAGGCTGAGAGAGATTAAATGATTTGCCCAAAGTCACATAGCTAGTAAGTGACTGCAGCAGGATTTGAACTCAGGTTCAAATCCTTCCTGACTTAGACTCAAATAGGCAGAGGCAGAGGATCCTTGGTTCAGCGACTCATTGGACTCAGTGACTATCCTGGGAGATTTGTTTCTTCTCACCAAGGCCCCCTCTCTCTTCTGTGGGTATTCCTCAAAGGCTAAGGGGGACTTTTGGAGTCTACATCTGAAGCCAGCC